GTCCCAACTAGTTCAAATACTATGTCCAACTGTTAATAATAAAGGTGGGAAGTGCTGAATTTTTTTTCAGGCAGGAAGTATTGCCTAGAAGACAATTTTCTTCAAATTCCAGCATTCTTGATTGTTGGAGATCTAAAATGTTGAAGGGCTATGTAGAGTGGCTAGAAGTTCATTTTCATAAATGATGGCCTAGAAGTTTTCTGGTGAATATTTTAATCCCCACATATTTGGTGACCTAGAACAATCAACCAGCTGAACAGAACAAAAGCAACCATATAAATCTTTAGTATCCAGGTTTCTGTCTCATATACAAGGGCTAATTTATTAATTATATGGTAGAATGTCTCCCAAAATTTAGAGCATCATCCTCCAAACCTCACTGGTAGATCTGATGTACTACTTTTATATTCAGATAATGCAGCCTTCATCTTCTATTTCACCCATTGGATTGAACAGAGCCCTATGAATTAGCAAAAAAATTAAAATCATGGTTGTTTCAAAAAATTTAATCATAATTATAGGAGACAAGGAAAAGGGAATAACACTAAATAGGTTCAGATCTTCAAATATCTCAGACTTATTTTCTACCCCACTGGCTTGTGGAGGCCCCAAACTCAATCTCTATATGAGGTCAGAAGTACAGTTGCCATACTAAAAGTTTTCTGTATGATAGAAGGTAATTTACCTATCTAGTGGAATAAAATTATTTGAGGGCAAAGTATAGTGCGGCTGTCTTAAAATTTCCAAATGTAAGAATTTAGAACCATTAGATGTTGACCCCCCTCTCCAGTTGTACAATCTGTTTTACACTTTGTGTGGAAACTACTTGGTGTCACCCTAATACACTGTAGAGTCTTCTCTACAGTGTATTGATTTCAATTGGACTGATCAGGCCAAAGCATTTTTCAAGCAACATGCCAGGTACCAGTATATGGCATGTTGCTTATATATAATCTATATTAATTACCAGTAAACGAATTCACAAAAATGTGCTCCTTTACAATACTATCTGTACAATACCTGTACAATACTATCCTTCAAACCACAAGAAGATCTTTCCCACTTGCCTGCTAAAATGCCCTCTCCCCTCTGCTCTTTTGGAAGATAGATTCTGTAACATACCTAAAGAGTTGCTCCTATCTCTGCTTCCTCTGTCTCTGCAGCGAAGGGGAAATTGAAAACATGGATCATGTGTTACTGCTGTCTTTTTAATAGATGTCTTCTAGATTTTAATAGAAATCTACAAGACATGTATAATGTATATTTCCCCATTTATCATATGATACCCAGGCAGGTTGGACTCTGATTACCTTATTCTCCTGTTAATTGACCAGAAGGCAGAGATTTAAATATAGTGTAGCCCAGTTTTGTGTCAGAACTATGATCAAACATAAATACCTCCTCCGAGTGAAGCGATGCTGAACTTTGCCTAGGTTGCCATTATTCAATATATTTTATAATCCCGTCTACTTTACACACATACCATTCCATGTCTTATCTTGCTATTTTCTTGCTGTACTTGGTTGGATCATAACCGTCATAATCCCAATCAAGTCCTAGTAGGGCTTCAGCAGGTACTAGGTTCAATGGAAGTTGGAATAACTTTACATTCTCCTAGGATCTTGTTGATCCTACTACTTCTTCTTTATGTATAGTTATCTACCTTATGTAACAAAAACATTTAGACTATAGATTGTAATTTTATAGGTTCCTATCAGGCCTTAATCCATATACTTTGCAATTCTATGCCAATAATTCTTTTTTTTTTTACTTTTTTATTATTTCAGTATGATGTTTTATTTCTATTTTAGAATGATTGTTATGTTGCTTTATGCTGGTCTATGACCAAAATAAGCAATAAACACACGAGTAATGAACCAATTGGAAATAGTGACTACGATGTAATTCCTGTGAAACACATGAGTGCACCAAGGTTGGGGGGAGGGAGACTAGTATTAGCCAGTGGTGGTATTCAGCTGGTTCTATCCGGTTTGAGCGAACTGGTAGTGGCAGCTGCGGGATGGTCCGCCCACCCACCTGGACGTCATCATGTCCCGTTTTTGCTGCTCTGCGCATGTGCAGAATGCCCTGCGCTCACATTTGTGGACCGGTAGCAACGGTAAGTGACTACCATCCCTGGTATTAGCATATTTGATTTAAAAAGAAGGAATTTCTCTAAACAGTAAACGTTTTTTTTAAAAAAATTAAAATTAAAAGGGAAAATAGAAGTCTAAGTCTTCAGAATGCTTAGAGATCTCAGTATTTTGAAAAATGTCACCATACACGCTAACTAGAATACTGTATATTGAAGCTAAAACTAAGATCAGAGACTCTCTTGTGTCAAGCTTGGATCCTGATGTTTACCGTATAGGGATCCATCCATGTAATTTTGGTGGAAGCAATGTGGAAGTCATTTGCCATTGCCTTTTTCCAATGTTTTTTTTCCCCCCAGTTTCCCATGTGTGTTCCTAATGGTCTTAAGGTTTATCCAGATCCAACCAATACAGCCAAGCTCTTTGCTCACATCCAGGCAATGTTAGTTAGAAGCTGCTACTTACAGTTAGAAGTTGCAACTAACCAGAATGTTTTACAATATATCTGAAGTAAGAAATGTTGGGGGAGTTGGCAGTCTATCAGATAATAGATATGCTACAGAAAGAAATGGAATTGGAAGATGTAAGATAGTACTGCAAACAGAGGTTACCAGATGAAATCATAGGCCTTCAGGACAAATCATGACTAAATAAATCATTGGGTCCAGACAATATCCACTCAAGGATACTGGGTGGATACTTGGATTTTAATAGAGTAAAAACAAATGTGAAGTTGGTGATCTTCTAATGCAAATATTCAACTTTTCCCTAGAAAATATCTTTTGATTCTGAGGACTGGGAAATAAATAACCTAATTCCTTTGCTTTTTTTCATATTTCTAATGCATTCTCAAATGCACATGATATGCGTAATAAGACCAACACCAGCTAAATAACTTTCAATCATAAATTCACATTATTGGGAATAAACAATAGACACTTTGAAACATTATTATAAAATTAACATATATCACATTGTTTAGTTCAAACCTTCCCTCCCAAAAAAGGAACATTATAAAAGAGGGTGGTACTAAAAGGATAAAATTTATTTCAGTAGCAAGAAAGCAAGCCTATGTTACAATTGTGTTTCTTTCAAATAAACAGAGGGATGTTCAAATAAACAGCTATGGGATTTGTGTTCCTGCCTCATTGCTGTATTTTAGTTGCCTGTGCATTTTAATCTAGATGGCCTGTCGTCATGGCATTCTATAGACTAGTCAATTTTGCTGTATCACCAACTGGATTTGAAATGAAGTTGTTTCTCAAAGACCACCCAGGAAGTTAATTTTTTGAAATTGAAATCAGGATTTGTAGCAAGTAGCTCGTGTTCTTTCACAACAGTGCTTAAGAAGATGCCCTACAAACACACATGCACTGAATGTACTACACTGTGAGAAATACTGGTGTGATGAAGTACCCACTCTGGTGAGTTCATAGGTCAAGTAATAGAAAAGTTCTAAATGAGCTCTTCTGAGCTCACAATACTTGTTTCAAATTCGAGACAGGTTGTTCCAGCATTACTGGAAGCATCCCAATACTGTTCCAGTCATTCCAGAAGTTTTTCATGCTCAATTGTTCTAATTTGTGTTCAGAATGGGGGCTTTGGATCTTGCAATGGGGATGTTTCAAGTTTCAGATACTTGCAAATTGGTCAAAACAGCATAAGGATATTACAGAAAAGCCGGAAACATTGTCATGAATCCGAACTGGAGTATTTTGAACTTGTACCCAGGGCATCCCCTCTCAGAAAGTTTTGAATTCAATTTAGTTTTCTTGGGACATAAATGCCAGCACTGTCTATAAAGGAGAAAAATTCAGTAGCAGGTGATACAGAAGATGCCTGAAACATGGGAAAGTATAACTAGCCATTTCTATCTTTCCAGGAGATGTTGCTGTAGCAGCAACTATGCTAAAAGCAACTATGCTAAAAGAGCCTTGGTAGTACAGTGGTCTAAAGCACCCTGTTATTAAGAACAGCTGCCTGCAATTACTGCAGGTTCAAATCTCGCCAAGGCTCAAGGTTGACTCAGCCTTCCATCCTTTCTAAGGTAGGTAAATTGAGGACCCAGTTTGTGGGGGCAATAAGCTGACTTTGTATAAATATACAAAAGGATGAAGGCTATTGCTTAACGCATTGTAAGCCGCCCTGAGTCTCTGGAGAAGGGCAGCATATAAATCAAATTTTTTTTAAAAAAGTTTTTTTCTTCTGCAATGATCAGCAATATTCTGAGAACAGTATATTATATTATCCCTTTTCACACTTTTAGTGTTTAGCTCTCCAGAAAGCCATTTTCACACATCATGGAGTTCATCTTTAACTAATGAAAGTAAAACCAGTACAGTTTTAATACTCTTGAAATCTGAGCTTAAAGCTATTACAAAAAAGGATGCTAAGCAGGACAGAGGGAGATGCTTTTTTCCATCCTCAGGCAAACCAATAGACTTTCTTCTTTCTTTTTTGAGTCCTTATGGTATTGCAAACAATTTACGTTTCAAATGCTAGCCACTGTATTCCATTGGATGGACACAAACAGGAGAAAAATCTTATTTTGGTACCCTAAACTGAAATTAGGAGATGGGAGTTATTGGGCTGAATGGTTTGTCCCCATTTCTCTTTTAGACCTTTGAAGTTCAGCCCCTGAAATAAGGGCTTTGTAACTCCGCTTTATATTGAGATGCTCCTTGGGAAGCAGTGAAAGAAAGAAACTGAGGGAAAACGAAGCATTTAAATCTTTGCAAATGCTGCGTTTTGCCCTTTTGGAAACCGATCCCAAAAGCAAATATGGTTGAGCCCTCCACATCTGGATCCGTTAAAAACAAAGTTTCCATTTGCAACTTGTTTTCAGGCTGGTGCAACAAATAAAGAGCTGAAGAACTAAAAGCAAAGGGAGACTACAGAAGGGCTTACCTTAACTTTGCAGAAAGGGCTTTCGCCAAACGGCGCCCAGAACTTGCTGGGACTCCCCTCCAAAAGTTCGTTTTATCTTTCTTCTGAAGTTTCTCCGACTGCCCCGAGTCCTTCAGCTGAGCTAGGCAGTCTTGCAAAAAAAAAGGAAAAAGGAAAAGGAGGAAAAAAAATGCCTGGGGAGGGTTGTCTGAAGCTTGAAGGGGCGGGACTGGGGGGGGGGGAGGAGGAGGAGGAGGATGCCCAGAGCGCCCACTGCCTGGCTAGAGCCTCTGGTTTGTTTTTTTATTACCCCCCAGAGTATTCGTCACAGGATCCTTAAACCGAGCCCTTGCTCCAGCTCTGCAGCGGTTCTTTTAAACCAACAAGAAGCCTCTGCCAGGAATGAGGCTTTGCGGTTGTTGATTTAATCCTACTTTGGGTTCAAACTTTTTGGATCGTACTCGCAGACAGAGACAGGAAGGATGGAAAGGGAAAAAGAAAAAGAAAAAGAACCCTTTTGATTTTTTTTTCCTCCCTTTCTGGAGAAGAGGGGCAAATTAGGGGTGTGTGGGGAAGGCTAGCTTCAAGTAACTGGAACTGGGAGGCGCAGGTCAAAAAAGTCAGAGGAAGACGAGAGCTGGTGCGAACGGTCCGAATCCCATCCTCCAAGCGGAACAATCCCAACCGAATCGGTGTGGGTCTGTGCATGGTGCAGATCTGTTTACAACTGGACTTTAAAGGGTTGCGAGCGTCTCAATCCCATTCTGTGTCTCTGGTGGGGATGCCTGCTTTCGATTCTGGCCTTTCCCCCCCCCCCCCCGCCCCCGCCGCCGCCGCCACCCCCTTCCTACCAGCCTCCATCTTTCCCTCCTCCCTCGGTTCGCCCCTTTCTCGGGATATGAGGAAATGTTTAGAAAATCCGCGGCCGACGCCAGCCGCTGACTCATGTTTTCATTAAAGAAGGGAGGCCTCCCGCCACATGTGAGGAGCGCTGCCCGCCCGTTCGCTCCTCCTCCTCCTCCTCCTCCGGCCCCGCCTCCGCTCCCCTCCCTCGCACCTTCTTGGCGCGGAGTGGGAAGCTTGGAGAGGCGTCCGGACCGGAGGGTGGGGTGCGGGGGAGAGCGGACGTGGTGGGGCTTATCGGCGGAGATAACCCTGAGTTAGCGGCCTGCCTTGTTCTTTCTTTGCTGGGAGGGATCGCTGTTGAAAAAGATTTTGCCAAGGACACCCACCACCATGGGCTGGTTGACACACAGACCCTTAGGGAGACGTGCGCGTGTGAATCAGAGTTTGCTTTCTGTGTTGATAGCTTCCCCGAATAGGGGCTGTTGAGGAGGCCCCACACAAAAGGCCATAGGGTGGTGGGTGGGTTGTTTTGAGTGTAGGCATGAAGAAAAGAATTGAGATACTTGTTCGGTGGGCTTTTGATGAGGTCAGGACAAATTCCTCAAGGAGTCATTCTGCTAGGTAAAAATAGAAATAGAAAAACAGAGTTGGAAGGGACCTTGGAGGTCTTCTAGTAGTCCAACCCCCTGCCCAGGCAGGAAACCCTACACCACTTCAGACAAATGGTTATCCAACATCTTCTTAAAAATTGCCAGTGTTGGAGCACTCACAACTTCTGCAGGCAAGTTGTTCCACTGATTAATTGTTCTTGAAAAAAACCATTGCTACCAACCTGCCTTCCATTGAGGCATTTTGCACGAGTCAAAAAGAGGGCTGTAAAAATATTTACAGACCCCTCACATTCTGGACGTAAACTATTTCAACTCCTACCCTCAAAACGACTAGAGCACTGCACACCAAAACAACTAGACACAAGAAGTTTTTCCGAATGCCATCACTCTGCTAAACAAATAATTCCCTCAACACTGTCAAACTATTTACTAAGTCTGCACTACTATTAATCTTTTCATCGTTCCCACCATCCATCTCCTTCCACTTATGACTCTATGACTGTAATTGTTGCTTGTATCCTTACGATTTATATTGATATTGTTTCCTGATTGCTTATTTGTATCCTATGACTATCATTAAGTTGTACCTTATGATTCTTGACAAATGTATCTTTTCTTTTATGTACACTGAGAGCATATGCACCAAGACAAATTCTTTGTGTGTCCAATCACACTTGGCCAATAAAAAATTCTGTTCTGTTCTGTTCTGTTCTGTTTTATTATTCTATTCTATTCTATTCTATTCTATTCTATTCTATTCTATTCTATTCTATTCTATTCTATTCTATTGTCATGAAATTTCTCCTTAGTTCTAAGTTGCTTCTCTCCTTGATTAGTTTCTACCCATTGCTTCTTGTCCTACCCTCGGGTGCTTTGGAGAATACACAAAATACACAAGGCTTGACACTAACTCCTGAGAATACTGGCCAGCTGAAAAAATAAATAAATGGATCTTGAAAGAAATCATCCCAAGAGTCCTCACTCAAGACACAAATGACCAGGATCAAATTATCCTACTTCAGAAATGTTATGTAAAGACTCGGGTCTCTGGGAAAAAAGCTCTAACGTTGGGAAAAGGGCAGAAGGAAAGACAGAAAGAGGACAACCAGCTGCAAGGTGGATGGACTCAGTTATAGTGGTGAGGGGAGCACATTTGAAAGTGCTGAAAGACCATTTTAGGAACAAATTGCATAGAAAAAAAGTCTGTGTGATCACTATGGGTTAACAACCTGATGATACATAATCAGCCTAAATAGGTTTGTACCTGGCTGAACATAATTAAGTATGGATGATAGCCAGGGTGAACATGGTTAATATGTGGATGGAAGACCACCAGAAATCTCAAGAACTTAAAGACAGGATATCCTGGAAGAAGGATATCCTTAGTATAGCAAACTAAGCCTTTTCACTGCTAAGAAAAAGCAACTGTGTATGTATCTGAAGTTAGAGATGAGCTTTGGTCAGATAACATGTATTAAAAACCAAGTTTTCAGGGGCTCATTAATATACAGTATATATAATTTGAATATGGCAGATAAGTAGAGAATTATAAATACATGGGCATATTCATAATTGTTTTGCTCAAAGTTGGGAAATTTAAAAAAAAATCTCAGACAACTTTCCGGGGCCAATTTGCTGGAAAATGGCAGTGAAACGTTAAAGGGTCAAGCTGTGAATACTTCATAAACTCTTCCCTAGGCTCTCTAAGAATCCTTGGATATTCACCAGTAAATTAAACCAATAAATTTAAAAAGCCAGTCTATTACCTTTAGTTTTTGTGGGATGCTATCTCATTGTCATTATTCAAATTCAGTTCCACTGCCAACCCAGTTGCCTTCTGCACAAGATAAAGAAGAAAGTGCTCTTTTGTCCTTGATTTCAAATGCAAAATATCTTGAGCCAACCTCAAGCCAAACCTTTTGTTTAGGGCCAAACAAAAAAAGTCAAAGATATAAACACAGTTCTCTGAAACATAGCATATATAAATGTGACTGAAAGCCACCATCTCTAATACCATTGAATTTGGTATCATTAGAAGATCCACTCAGTTTTTGGAATGTCAACATCTTGATTTCACATCTAAGCAATCATATGTCTACACTATGAATTGATCTACTAGTATGGCTGAACTCCTCAATAATACACCACAATTGAAATAAGTGGGGCTAATTCCTCAGTATTCATATTCAGGCAATTTAGTAAATACATTATTCTATGCTCAGAATTAATTTACTCAGTTCAGAAGTTGCACAATGCAGCCTTGTTTGCCTAGATTAGCGTAGGTGGAATTTGAGAAAACACAGTGCTTAGTAGAGAAGCAACAGGCATAAAGTTGTACTGGTTACCAGTTTGATTCTGGGTATGATTTAAGAGATGGCTCTTATCTATAAAGTCCTTCAAGAGCAGCTTATCTCCAATTATCTCTGATGTTGGCAAGCTCCATGCACAAAGCTTGTAACATTCCTCAGGAGACCTCTTCTCCATTGCTGTCCTGACCTTTAAAACAGCACCTCCTCCTCCTCCTCCTCCTCCAGGATCCAGCTAGCTCTGACCCTGCCAAGCTTTCAGAAGGCATTAAGGACCTCTTATTTTCTCCCCAACTTTGGGTCTGGGATTGGTATGACATACTAGAAAATTTTTGTTTTCCCCCAGCACTTTTTCAATTTACATGTCTTTGCTTTTGTTTTTTTTTAATATCTTTTTATTATGTGGTTCTATTATACTGTTCTTCAATGATGAGTGCTGTCCTGAATTGTATGTTGAATAGGTGTCTATAGAAATTGTTCAGCTAAATAAAATCAGAGGTGTTGGTGTTTTCCAGAAGCTGCTGAATGCTTGCTTGGATGCATCCTTGTTAAGCTTAATTTTCTTGACCCAAATGACTAAAGCAAACTGAGTTTATAAATGTGAGTTTAAAGCCATCACAGAGTATGTGATTGAACAGACTTACAAGTAGTCCTCACTTAACAACAGTAATTGGAATTACAATATTGAATTTCCATTGCTAAGCAACATGGTCATAAGGCACAGTGTGATGTGACTCCATTGCTTAGCAAATGCAATCCTGGCAGTCCCCATTGCTGCTATTAAGCAAGGATCTCAGGTTTTTATTCAAGGACCTCAAGTGATTTTGACTTGTGATTTCCTGTTGGCTTCCAACAGGCAAGTCAATGGGGAAACCCTCAGGGAGAGTCCTGCACTGTTTTCAAGCAGGCCCACAGACGGGTGAGTGGTATGGAGTGTTGCCAAATGAGGTGTGATGTTGCTGCATGAGTGTGGCTGAGTGCAACTACTTTCATGCACTTAACAATTTGTTTATGACACTCTCCACTTTTTTCTTCTGGTCCTCTATTTAGCAGCTGGAAGATACATGGAGTTCAAAACAAACAACTTCAGTCTCTGCCAACTGAGTTTGTTAATCTCTAAAAAGACTCATCTTTAGGCCAGTGTTGGCTGATTACTTTTACTCTGGAAGGGCTTTTGAGCATGTTCCAATTGTTTTTATTTATTTATTTATTACTTCCCCCCCCCCCAAAGTACAAAATTTAGACTTCTTGTAAGGTCAGCTACTACACACCATATCCTCTAGAGCCAAGCTATTTGTTAATTCGCTTGTTTACTTATTCTTCTCTTGGTGGAATTTGTAGTAACTTAGCAGTAATAAATAAACTTGTAAGGACACTATGAAGTGCGGGGTGGGGGGAGGTATTCCCTGAGATCTCATAACGAGCTCAAGAGAAATAGCAGCAAGAGCAACTTATAGGTGCAATTTGTAGCCTTCCCTGCCAGTTTCCCATAAATGGCAATTGCAGTTGGCAGTCACAATGGCTGTTGCAAATGAGAATTAAGTGAGCATTGAATGCTACAACTGTTAATAAGCTAGTTGCCAAGTGGCTAGATCACAATTATGTACCCACAGGGTACTTCAACAGCCAGAACTTTGAAGACTGGTTGTACTCACCACCCTTGCAATTTCAAACAGCCGCTGAATAAGTGGCTGTTAAACGAGGACTACCTGTGCTTTGTGCAGATGACATTTTATGTTGCAAATTCCTGAGAACTTAAAGCACAAGTGGAAATGGTAAACATCCGACATCTTTATCAAAGGTTGGAGGGTTGCTTTTATCAGCGCATAAGATGTACCTGCGATGAACTAAGATTATTTAGCCGCAGGTTGAAAGGAAGAGAAGGTTGCATTATAATGATGCAATGATTGTTGGAGTCCATATGCTGCATTAATTCCTGAGCTTAGATGGCATCTCAAATAGCCATATCAGGGAAACAACAATAGCTCCAGGGGAGAGAAAGCT